ATTCTGGCAGTACTTCTTCCAAGACATGTTTGTTCGCCCTTCTGGCAGACTATAATATATTCGATACTCTTCTCTAACACCATAATTCAAAGATTTCATTTTTTCTTTCAGTCTTCCTTATTCATTGTCCAGGTTTGCATTCATATGAGGTGATTGAAAATGAACATGGCTTGTGTCAGGCACACATTAGTCCTCAAAGTTATGTCTTTGCTTTTTAAAACTTTAAAGAGGTCTTCTGCAGCAGATTTGCCCAATGCAATACTCATTTGATTTCTTGACTGCTGCTTTCATGGGCGTTGATTATGAATCCAAGTTAAATGAAATCCTTGACAACTTCCATCTTTCCTCTGTTTGTCATGATGTTACTTATTAGTCCATTTGTGATATTTTTGTTTTCTTTATGTTCAGGTGTAAACTATGCTGAAGTCTGTAGTAGTCTTTGACCTTCAGCAGTAAGTGCTTCAAGTCTTCTTCACTGTCAGTCAGCAAAGTTGTGTCATCCGCATATTACAAGTTGTTAATGATACTTCATCCAATCCATATATATATAAATGAAGCCAAAGGTGCCTTTTTCTTTGAAACAGTGATAAGTTTGTTCAGGTGTAGTTGATTCTGAATCTATGGGCTGGAACACTGTATCACCCCAGCTACTGTTTCACCCTTGGGTTAATTTTGTAGATTTAGCTACGAGTACAGTTTTTCTTTCTTTCTTTTTAAAATTAACTCTTATAATTTAGGTATGTGACCACCAGAAAGTATCAGAAGGTGCCTAGTAAGCATTGTTTTTGCAACTTGTCCATCTTGAACTTAATGTTATTGTTAATTATAAGGTGATAAGTTAATTGGCTTAATTATTTTGTTAAATATTATTCTGACGGATAATGAACTCTTTAATATTGACTTTGAATCCACAAGGTTGCATTATATTTTACCTTGAATTTTTATATGGTTATAAATCCCTCTTGAGCTAATATATGGTTGTATAGGATTTAGACGGCCCTGGTTCTAAAGTTACAACTTAACAGATTCTCAAATGTATTTAATAACAATCTTTATTTTTTTTTTCCTCCTAGAAAACTGTGGAACATACACGAAAAGCATGAGGCCAGTATATCCTACAAAAACTTTTCCCAATCACTACAGCATTGTCACAGTAAGCTATGTGTTTCACCTTTTCTGTATTTGTAGAAGAGTCCCTAGGTGGTGCAACTGGTTAAGCCCTTGACTGCGAGCTGAAAGATTGGCAGTTGAGATACTCAGAGGCCCCTCAGAAGAGAGGCCTGGTGATCTGCATCCAAAAGGCTACCTGGAAAACCCAATGGAGCAGTTGTGCTTTGCACACATGGTGCTGCCATGAGTTGGAATAGACTTGATGGTAGCTACTACAAAATATTCACAGAAGTAGTGAATTGAAAATTTTTAAGGGGATAATTAGATTTCAGATCAGAAAAAAGTACCTTCCTTTCCCATGTATGGTTACATGAGGACATGTTGGTTCTGGTCTTTGCTTTCCCACTAAGTAGTCATAACCTTGGAAAGTCACTTTACCTTCTGTGTTTCAGTGTTCTCATTTTTGAGAAGAGATAACTAACCCCCAAAATGGCCTCTTGCTTTTAAGATTCTCTGATTCTCACATCCTGTTTTTCCTCACTTGTTTTACAGCTTCTTTATTTGAGCCAAGAAAGTGCCCTACACATATGTGCTCTCTAATCACTTTTTAAGTCTTCTGAAGCAAGCCACTTTGCCTGACGGCACACAGGATTACAGCCCTGTTTTTGTTTCAGTCACAGTTTCCAGATTTAATTGAATCCAGGAAAAAAGCCGACTTCATTAAACCTTAGAGTTGAAGCCAGGCAATTAGTACTTTAACGTGTATTGACATAAGCTATTCTCAGAACCACCCAAAAAGTTCGTTCTGCAGAAATGCTTTATCCACCATGCAAAAGGACAACAGAGTAATTTTTTATTTTTTCAAAATTTGGGAGGCTGCCTAGTTAAGGCATTTGACTGCTAACCAGAAGGCTGGTGGTTCAAATACACCAGCCACTCCATAGAAGGAAGATTGGGCAATCTACTTCTGTAGTAATACCGCCTCAGAAACCCAAGAAGGGATCGCTATGAGTCCGATCTGACTCGACAGCAGTGAGTTTGAGTTTTGGTCATCCATGCCGTTTTCAGTTCTTCTCCCATTACATAATTTGAAACACAAATACTACATAGTCTTTTGAATGCTTGTATTTCGACAGTACTCTCTGTTCTTCCCTCCTTAAACTTCATTATAATTCCTTATAGCTACAGTTGGGAGCTCTGGTAGCATAGTGCCTAAGGCACTTGACTGCTAACCAGAAGGCTGGCGGTTCAAACCCACCAGCCACTTCTTGAAAGGAAGGTTGGGCAATCTACTTCCGTAGTGATACTGCCTTGGAAACCCAAGGAGGGGTCGCAATGAGTAGGGGCTGACTTGACGGCACACAACAACAACAAACAACATAGCTGCAGTTATCAACTTCTTTTTGACCATTTTATTCTGTGACTTGACTTAACATTTAAAAAAAAATACTAACAATTTGCATAAAAGTTGCATTTTCTATTTTTTCAGGGACTTTATCCAGAATCACATGGCATCATTGACAATAAAATGTACGATCCTAAGATGAATGCTTCCTTTTCACTTAAAAGTAAAGAGAAATTTAATCCTGAATGGTACAAAGGAGAACCAGTAAGTTCTTTGTTTGGGCTATTAAAATGCCTTCTTTTATTATTTTCATCGGAGTAAAATACCAGATTCCCTGGAGGTTTTAATAACCTGCTTCACTGACTGCGTCTGTGGCCATCATTTTGTAAATGGAGGTGAATGCTGATGATGTGGAGGGCAGCTTGTATGTGTGTAATTAAAGTAGTTCATTTTTGAGCTGATTTGGGCTGTGCTGAGTCATTTTTCTTTTCTGCTCGATTTCCCTTTGTGCTAGTTGCATATAGCACTAGCCTGGTGGGAATAGTTTTAGTCTGTGCAAGACTAATTTGTTTCTGGAGGAGGTAAGCCTTGGCTTCCTTTGCTTGTGTTGTTTAGAAACGTTCTCTCTGATTGTGATTTAGATGTGTTCTCCTTTTTATTATTTGAAGTTGCCACAATAATTATATAGGGTGTATTTGGATAGTCTTAATACTCATCTCAGAATGAAAAAGAACATAATGGTTGAGATTGCAGGTTATGAATTTAAAACTTCAGCTCTGACAGTTAGAGCTGTGTGAGTGAGCACATTATTCTTCCTTTGCTTCAGTTTTCTCCTATCTTTCCTGTAGCTAGTACTGTTAACTATCTCATAGGGTTACTGTGAGGATGATATAGTTAATTACACAGGATGCTTAAAGGAGTAATAGTTACTACTGTGCTTTGCAATAATAAGTGCTTAATTGATGTTAGTTACATAAGCAAAAATGTCAGTTATTTAAAGTCAGGTATATTTGTGACTCTTTCTTCTTTCAAAAGAAACCTATTAATGAGTGGTATAACTCTAGAAGTTACAGGAGTTGCCAGCTGACTAATGCCTATCTTTTTTGGGTTAATTTAATCTCTAATTATTTAATTTTTTTTTTTTTTTT